CAAAAAAAAAAAAAAAAAAAAAAAAGCCTTGACTTTCCACTTTTGAAAGATATTGTCAGCTAGGCTTGGTGGCTCAGCCTGTAATCCCGCGCCTTGGGAAAAAAGAAAGAAAAATATTGTCACAGTGTGTAGAATTCCAGGTTGATAGTTGTTCCTCTCCCCCATATCTCAGGATTGTCCTCTGGCTTACACAATTTCTAACAAGAAATCTGCTATCATTCTTACCTTTGCATCTCTCTCTGTGTCTTTTCTTTAACTTCTTTTTTTTTTTTTTTTTGAGTTGGAGTCTCACTCTGTCGCCCAGACTGGAGTGCAGTGGCTGCTCCTGGCCACCGCAGCCTCGACCTGCTGGGCTCCAGCGATCCTTCCGCCTCAGCCTTCCGAGTAGCCGGAACTACAGGCTCGCGCTACCATGTCCCGCTAATTTGTTTTTATGTAGTGTAGAGATGAGGTCTCGCCAAATTGCCCAGGTGGGTCTCAAACCCTTGGACTCAGGCAATTCACTCGCCTCACCCTCCCAAAGTGCAGGATTACAGACTGAGCCACTGAGCCCGGCTTACTTCTTTTTAAGATTATTCTTTTTTATCATGTGTTTTTAGCAGTTTGATTGACATACCATGGTGAGGCTTCATTTTTTATTCTGCTTGGGTTTCTTTGAGATTCTTGGATCTGTGACTTTATCATTTTCATCACATTTGGAAACATTCAGCCACTATTTTTCAAATGTCTCTATGCTTTTTTTTTCCCCCCCGAGTTGGAGTTTCACTCTGTTGCCCAGGCTGGAGTACAGTGGCATGATCATAGCACCTTGTAGCCTTGACCTCCTAGGCAGTTCAAATGATTTTTCTGCCTCAGCCTCCCAAGTAGATGGGACAACAGGCACATGCCACCACACCCAACTCATTTGTTGATATTTTTGTAGAGACAAGATCTCGCTGTGTTGCCGAGGCAGGGTAGTCTTGAAATCCTGGGCTCAAGCAATGAACTCAACTCGGCTTTCCAAAGTGGTGAGATCATAGGCATGAGATACGGCACCCAGCCTCAACTATTTTCCTGTTTTCCTCTTCCCTACCCTCGTTCTGAGACTCCAATTACACTTACGTTTGACTGATTTGTATCGTACCATAGGATACTCATCATCTGTACATTTATTTTGTCATCTTCCTTCTATGCTTCATTTTGTATAATTTCTTTTTGAAAAGTTCTGCTTCCACATCACAGAATATAGTTGCCTTTTTTATATGTTTAAATTCACGGATCTTTTCTTTATGCTTAATCTGCTGTTAAGCCCCTCTGTTATATATTTTAAAAATTCAGATACTCTTATATTTTACATCTCTACAGACTCTGTTTCAATCTGTTAACAATCCTTAGTTACTGATCATGTTCCTGTTTCTGTTGGCATTATTGAGCATATTTGTATTTACAATAGCTGCTTAAGGTTCTTGTCTGCTGGCGCCATCATTTGTTATTTCTTGTCTGTTTCTCATGTTTGACTCTTCCCATCAACCCTAGTTATGGGTCACATCTTCTAACTTTTTTTTTTAATGTCTGGTGAGTTCTGATCAGTTGCTAGTTTTGATTAGATACATTGTGAATTTACACTGTCAGGGGCTAGATTTTGTTACATTCCTTTAAATTGTGCTAGACTTTGCTCTAGAAAGCTGCTGTTTGGGAGAGGCTGGTGTCATGTATGAGGATATGACAGGTCATTGTTTCTGTGAGGCATTCTGGGATGCTAACAACCAATGACCACTTTGAGTTATTTTATTGTTTTGGCTTCATTTTCCTCAGACTACTCAGATAATATAAATACATTTCAAATTTGCACAAATGGGAGACTTTGATTTTTCAAAATCTAAGGACAGACTTTCCCCACACCCAGAACCAAGGCAAAACCAGAAAGTTCTTATTTTCTCTCTTGCCATTAGAATATGAATATATACATACATATAGAGAGAATTTTTTTTTTCTAGGCTACCTTTTCAAAGAGGGCTTAGAGCTTAGAGTTTCCTGGCTTTATGTAAAGATCCCAGTTCTCACTCTCAGAGTTAAGGCATTCCAATGCCTTGTCTTCTGATCCTCTAGGTCACCCCTGATATCTGCGGTTTTCTTTCCCTGATATAAGCAATGACTGTCAGGGTAACTGTTTCATTAACCCATTATCCTCCCTGGAAATTTTAGTTCCCTCCTGTTTTTTTCTTCTAGCTATTCCCTTTATGGTGAGCTAGACCATGCATCTAATTACATTTGTGTTTCTTCTAGCATTTCTAAGTATTTTGTAGTTAGAAGCTATTTTCCAGATATTTTAGTCTGCTGTATTTATGCTCTTGCTTTTCTTCTCAGCAAATTCTAAAACTTTTACCTTACTAGACTTAATCATTATTATTCTTTTCTTTGAAATTGTTCACATCATGTAAATGTAAGCCATTTTACAACATTGCAGGACTCATTCACGTCTGTACATACTAACTTGTGTTTCTCAATCTCCAGTGTACTCCATAAGGCTTGCTGGAAGAGAAAGCCGAGCTGAAGAACCTTTTGCAAATGACATCTACCAGGTAGCTGATGAAATTGTTTGTGCTATGATGCCAGTCATCCAGGATAAACCATTTGCATTTTTTGGCCACAGGTATTTGAAATCTGTTTTAAGAGGCATGGGAGTAGGGCAGTTCTTCAATCATAAGTCTTAATGTTGTTAACTCACAAGTGGTTAATGTTGTTCTTTTTTTTTTTTTTGAGTTGGAGTCTCACTCTGCCTCCGAGACTGGAGTGCAGTGGCCGCTCCCGGCCACCGCAGCCTCGACCTGCTGGGCTCCGGCGATCCTTCCGCCTCAGCCTTCCTAGTAGCCGGAATGACAGGCCTGCGCTACCACGCCCGGCTGATTTTTTGATTTATTGTAGAGATGAGGTCTCGCCGCCCAGGCGGGTCTCGAACCCGCAGGCTCAGGCAATCCACTCGCCTCAGCCTCCCAAAAGCGCGGGATTACAGGCTGAGCCACCGAGCCCGGCTAATGTTGTTCTTTATGTTGCTCTTTGTGTGAGATGCCTGCCTTTTGCACTGGTTAAACAGTATGTAGGGCAATTATGACCAATCACAGTTCTTAAGGTTTGCTAATTTGTATAGTAATTATAACTTTTTTCCTTTTAGGCAAAAAGCTAACACTTGTAAAATCAAGATTTTAACAGCAATTTATATTCCACTTATTTTTAAAATTAACAAGTATAGTATATGTTTCTCTTTCCCCCCCCCCCCCATTTTCTTTCTTTTTTTCTGTAAGACAGGGTCTTGCTCTGTTGCCCAGGCTGGAGTACAGTGGTATGATCATAGCTCACTGCAGCCTGGGCTCAAGTGATCCTCCCACCTCAGCCTTCTGAGTAGTTGGGATTAGGAGTGCACATCACCATGCCTGGCTAATTTTTAGTTTTTGTAGAGATGAGGGTCTCACTATGTTACTGAGACTAGTATTGAACTTTTGGCCTCAAGCAGTGCTCCTACCTCAGTCTCCCAAAGCATTAGGATTATAAGCATGAGCCACCATGCCTGGCCAATAGTATATGTTTCTTAAGCTAGGTTGTACAATTCTGAGGGTAGGTCACAGACCCTAGGGTTCTGACAGCCTCTTAGCAGCTGTGTGACCTTGGGCAAATTCCTTAGGCTTCTGAATTAGTTTCCTCTTCTACAAAGCTAAAATAGGCCAGGCAGGGTGGCTCATGCCTATAATCCCAGTACTTTGGGAAGCTGAGGCAGGAGGATCACCTGCCCCCAGGAATTCAAGACCAGCCTAGGCAACACAGTTAGACTTTGTCTCTACAGAAAAAAATAAAATAAAAAAATTAGCTGTGCATGGTGTCATGCAACTGTAATCCCAGTCACTCAGGAGGCTGAGGTGGAAGGATCGCCTGTGCCAGGAGGTTGAGGCTGTGGTGACCTATGATCGTGCCACTGTATTCCAGCGCGGGTGATAGAGTGAGACTCCAACTCAAAATAATAATAATAGTTAATTAATTAATTAAAGAGCTGGAATAATAATAGTTCTTACTTGTGAGGATTAAATGAAAAATAGTCTTAAATAAACTAGTATATAAGGACTCAATAAGTTTTGGCTACTTTATATTTATAAATATGGTCAAGCAAAAATTGAAAAACCAAAAGTACCCACCATCCTACCACTCAGATGACAATGTTTAAGAGTCTGATGTGGTTCCCTAGTATGTTATAAATCTTTTCATGGCTTTTTTTCTACCTAACTTTACTCTGAGCATCCTTCATGACCTGTAAGTATATGATGCTTCGTGTTTTGTTTTATTAACCTCCTTTGATGGATATGAGTTATTTCTATCATTTTATGTCACAAACAATACTTCAATGAACACTATTATAGAAAATTTAATTTCAATCGCTTATCCAGTTCTTAGGATAAATTCCCAGAATTCATGTTAAATGATATGCACATTGTCAAAGTTCTTGATATGTATTTCCAAATTACTTGCACGTTATATTCCATCAGCAATGAAGGTGGAACGGAGTGTCCTTTCTTTCATAAGATATATACATTTACTATTTACCAATGACTATGCACTAACAGTTTGGCCACAAAATTTACTGACGTAATATCTATGGCAGTTCACAAACTTTTTGGTCTCAGTATCTCTTTATACTTTTAAGATGCATTGAGGCCCTCAAAGAGCTTTTGTTTATGTGTAAGATGTCTGTCAATATGTACCATCAAATAAGGAAATAAGTAAAACTAAGAAATGTTAAAGATGTTTACTTACTTATCTAAAGATAACATTAATAAGCCCATCATATGTTGACGTAAATAATATATTTTTATAAAAGATTATGTGTTCCCAAAAATATGTAATGAGAAAAGTGGCATTATTTTATACTCTTGCAAATCTTTTGAATGTCTGGCATAATAGAAGACAGCTGAATTCTTATTCCTGTCTCTGCATTCAAATTATTGCAATATTCCACGACAAGCAGCCTCTGGAAAACTCCAGAAAGAGAAGAGGTAAAAACAAAAACAAAAACAAAAAAACAGGCATATAACTGTTTAGTATTTATACTGAACATAACTGCCCTCATGGACCGCCTGTTCTGGTCTCAGAAATTCCTAGGGGTCCCCTATCACACTTTGAGAACTGGTTATATATACTATCAAAGGCATAGTGATACACATCTATAAGGAAGAAAAGGAAATTTAAATTAACTTCAAGACACTGTGGAAATTTGTGGAAATTTGTACTAAATCTTAGATTGAAGCATCTAGGTTGTCTTTGAGACACTTTTTTTTTTTTTTAGTTGGAGTCTCACTCTGTCACCCAGGTTGGAGTGCAGTGGCACAACCACAGCTCACCGCAGCCTTGACCTGCTGGGCTCAGGCAATCATTCCACCTCAGCATCCTGGGTAGCTGGGATTACAGGCACATGCCACCACATCCGGTTAATTTTTTGATTTATTGTAGAGATGAGGCATCGCCAAGTTGCCCAGGCTGGTCTCGAACCCCTGGGCTCAGGCGATCCTCTCACCTCCATCTCCCAAAGTGTTGGGATTATAAGTGTGAGCCACCATGCCCAGCTTGAAACACTTTTAATGCTATATACATCATTGAAAATATGCCTTTCACAAATCAGTTAGAGTTATTAATCAACTATCCTATACTTTTCTTTTGACTGTGACACGATTATCTCTGTGTTTATGATACATGTTCCCACTGACTTTTGATCACGAGTTTTGCTAAAGAGCTATGATCATGTGTTTTTCTTTCCTGAATTTAGTATGGGATCCTATATTGCTTTCATGACTGCGCTACATCTAAAACAGAAACATAAGCTAGAACCAGTGCATTTATTTATGTCGAGTACAACTCCTCCTTATGTAAGTAATTTAGCTCCTTTTAAGGAAGAACAGTGGCAAGCAGGGAAACGGGGTGGGGGGGAATATAAAACTCAAGCTGTTATTTCCCTGCCTGGGGACAATGGCAGGGATCTGATTTGCTATTAAAGTGTCCCTTTTCAATATTATTCTCTCTTCATTTCCCTGAAACGCACTTCGACCGTTCCTTAATCATAGCCTACACTGGTCCGGGTGCCTCCGAGCATTATAATGCTGAACAGAAGTGCTTTTTCTTTAACCCTGAGTCTGCTGGGAACTTAATCCATTTCAGTAAAGTAACTGGGTCAGAGCCAGGAAAGAATTCTTGAACTTTCAAAAGGGCACAGTGATGTCAAATTTTTGGAATGACTATGCCTTTTTATTTTTTAATTATTATTCTTTAATCAGACACTTTTTTTTTTTACTTGGAGTCTCACTCTGTCACCTAGGCTGGAGTGCAGTGGCACGCTCATGGCTACTGCAGCCTGGACCTGCTGGGCTCGGGGGTCCTTGTACCTCAGCATTCTGAGTAGCTGAGACTCCAGGCATGCACCATCACACCTGGCTAATTTTTTAATTTATTGCAGAGATGAGGTCTTGCCATGTTTCCCAGGCTGGTCTCGATCTCCTGGGCTCAAGCGATCCTCTCTCCTCAGCCTCTCAAAGTGCTGGGATTACCGGCATGAGCCACTGTGCCCAACCTGACTGTGCCCTTTTTAAATCTGGTCCTGCTGTTCCTGCATTCTTCTTCCTCATCCCTCTGGTCTTCCCTACCTCATCTGGAGAAAGATCCTGACTGACCTGGAATTTTAAAGTCTACAATGCCATTTTGGTGGCATTGTGACTCTGAGGTTACACATGAATTTCTTCCCCCTGCTTTTAAAAAGAAATAGTTCCCCTCTGAAGCCTGTAAATAAAGTAGTCCATTTCCCAACCTTGACATAATGACTTTTCCCTTAGATCAATAGTTTTTTGATGTATAAGCAAATGTATTATATTAAATATCAGACTTGTGTTGTTGATGTTTCAAGTCAAAGGAACGGCTTTACATTCCCAATGTTAATGATTTGACAGAAGAACAAATCTGCCATTATCTTCTGGATTTTGGAGGCACCCCCAAGCATCTTGTTGACAACAAGGAACTTTTTCAACAATATACTCCTGTACTGAAGGCAGATGTAGAATTGGTTAGCAATTACACGTAAGTAACTGTAACATGTGCTTTGGTATGTTTATAGAAAAATGTAGAGTGAAGAAGAGAGGCCACTACTAGGGGAAGACAAGATTCTAAGAGTTTGGTTTCATATCCTCTGGGGCCACCTGTGATGTTGATACTGGCTTAGAATGGAGCCAGAGCACAGAAGTTATATCTCTAAAAGATGACTAGCTGGGCGTGGTGGCTCACGCCTGTAATCCCAGCATTATGGGGAGCAGAAGCGAGAGGATTGCCTGAGTTCGGGGGCTTGAGACCAGCCTGGACAACTCATCTCTACAGTAAATCAAAAATTAGCCCGGTGTGGTGGCGCACACCTGTAGCTCCAGCTACTTGGAAGGCTGAGGCAGAAAGATCACCTGAGCCCAGCAGATTGAGGCTGCGGTGGCCATGAGTGTGCCGTTGCACTCCAGCCTGGGTAATAGAGTGAGACTCCAACTCAAAAAAAAAAAGACTAGCATGTATTTTTCATACATGTGTATGTGTATATATATGAATAGACAAACGTTTCATTATATGATATACAGTTATTGAATAAATGAATGCCAAAGCATTCTCACCTCTTAGAAGGATCAGCAAAAGTGAGTTGTTACTTATTGTTAAAAAGCGTAGAGGTACACCACAGGGGAGGAGAAGCTTGCTAGGTTTGGTTTCTTGTGAATTTTGTTCTGCTTTATGGTGCTTCTCCATTCCTTTGTCTCGTGGGATGTCTGTATTGACGCTTGATTCTTCTGATAGAGCTGAACTCCTAATGCTCTGTAAATCCATCTCCAATAACCTAAACCTGCATATAGCTCTTCCTAGTCTAACAGCTCCATGGTCATTGTGGGGCCAGTATGGGGCCCTTTGTCGCCATTATATACTGTCATGCATGTCTTCTATTTTGTCACTGACCCCTTCATGAAAGTTCTTTGAAGGCAGGTGCTTGGGCCTGTGTTTCTTTTATTTCCTCCACAAAGTCTGGACCTGCACATTAAGGTTCCAAGGCAGTAGCTACAAACAGTGAAAAAGACTTACAGCACTTGGAGAACTGAGACAATTCCATTCATCTTGGACATATCCCTCCATTCACCACCCACTTCCAATTCATCCCAAAGTCAACAACATACCCCCTCAGTATCCCAAGTCCATCCGTCTCTATCCATTTCTATCCATCCCAACCATCTCAGTCCAAGGGTGATTCTCATAAGGCTAGGCTGTCTTGAATTTCTGGCTTAGCACAGAGTCAGGAAAAAGGAAATACCATTCTGCCTGTTTTTAATAATAGAAACATGGTATTTTTAAAAGCTACTGTAATCAAAACTTCATGGTACTAGCGTTAAAACAGACACATCAACAAATGGAACAGAAGAGAGAGCCTGGACAGAAACCCACAGATGTATAGTCAATTGGTTTTTTGACAAAGGTGCCAAGAACACACACAGTGGGGAAAAGGGTAGTCTCTTCAATAAATAGCATTGGAAAACCGTATATCCACATTTAGAAGAATGACATTGGACCTATAACTCACACTCTATACAAAATCAACCCAAACTGGATGAAAGACTTAAACATAAGACCTGAATCTGTGAAAATACTAGAAGAAAATACAGAGGAAAAGCTCTTTGACATTGGTCTGGGGAATAATTTTTGTTTGTTGGTTTGAGCTGGGGGTCTCACTCTGTTGCCCAGGCTAGAGTGCAGTGCTACGATCACGGTTCACCATAGCCTCATCTCCTGGGCCCAGATAATCCGCCCTCTTCAGCCTCCCGAGTAGCTAAGTCTACGGGTGTGTGCCACCATGCCCAGCTAATTTTTCTTTCTTTCTTTCTTTCTTTTTTTTTTCTTGTAGAGCTGGGTCTCACTGTGTTTCCCAGGCTGGAACTCCTGGCCTCAAACAATCTTCCTTTCTCAGCCTCCCAAAGTGCTGGGATTCCAGGCATGCCATGCATGGCCTGGACACTGATTTTTTTTGTTTGTGACCCCAAAACCACAGACAACACAAAGATAGACAAATAGGATTATGTCAAACTAAAAAGCTTCTGCACAGCAAAGGAAACAACATCATGAAGAGATAATCTACAGATTGGGAGGGTATATTTGCAAATCATACTTCTTATAAGAAGTTAATATCCATAAAGGAGTTCAAACAGCTCAATCATAAGAAAAACAAACAATGCAGTTAAAAATTTGGCAAAAGACCTGAATAGATATTTCCCAAAATAAGACATACAAATGACCAGCAGGCATACAAAAAAACAGTCACCATTACTAATCACCAGGGAAATGCAAATTGAAACCACAATGAAATCTCACACCTGTTAGAGTGGTTTTTATTCAAAAAACAAAATATTAGTCTTGGCAAGGATGTGGAGATAAAGGAACACTTGTTGGTGTCAATGTGAATTAGTATACAGCCACTATAGAAAACAGCATGGAGTTTCCTCAGAAAACTAAAACTGGAACTACCATATGATCTAGCAATCACACTTCTGAGAATATAACCAAAGGAATTTTGTTGTTGTTGTTGTTGTTGTTGGAGTCTCACTCTGTCGCCTAGGCTTGTCTTGAACTCCTGGGCTCAGGCAATCCTCTCACCTCAGCCTCCCAAAGTGTTGGCTTTATAGGTGAGAGCCATCACACCTGGCTAAAGGAATTGAAATCAATATGCTCGGACATATCTGCACTCTCATGTTCATTGTGGTATTATTCACAATAGCTAAGATATGGAATCAACATAAGTATCCTTCAGTGGATAAAGAAAATGTGGTGTAAAGACACACAATGGAATAATATTCAGCCTTCAAACAGAAGGAAATTCTGTAATTAGCTACAACATGGGTGAAACTAGACATTGTGCTAAGTGAAATTAGCCAGGCACCGAAAGACAAATGCTGCAAGATTCCACTCACATGTGGAATACAAAAAAGTTAAACTCATTGAGGTAGAGAGCAGGCTGGGGGTGGGGGGAGCAGGGAGGAATAGGAAGATGTTGGTTAAAGGCTACAAAGTTTCAGTTGGATGGGAGGAATAAGCTTCTGAGGTCTATTGCACAAAATGGTGACTACAGTTAACAAAATGAATATTTCAAATTTGCAAAAAAAAGTAGAATTTAAATGTTCACATCATTTTAAAAATGCTAAGTAGGTGAAGTGATAGATATGTTAATTAGCTTGACTTAGCCATCCCACAAGTTTATATATATCAAAGTATTACTTGTGAGTGAAAACCAAAATTTAAAACATTGAAATGTAATCCAAATCACTATGGATGTCCAATGCAATAATGTATGCAAAAGCTGGTCTTTAGTAATTAAACCTTGCACAATGGTCTTTTGAGTCCATTTACTGGGACTGAAACTCTGTGTCTTACGCGCTGTGAGATTCTGAGCAAGTGTCTTGAACAGTCTGGGCCTTATCTGTCAAAGGAGGGATAATAATAGTAAGAATAACTCTTCAAAGTGTTGTGGTGAGGAGTCAATGAGGTCGTGCTTAGTAGAGGTTTGGCACATCACAAATTACAAGCCATTTTTTATATTTATATTTATTTTTTTATCTTTTTAAAAAGAGACAAGTTCTCACTATGTTGCCCAAGCTGGTCTTGAACCCCTGGGCTCAAGCAATCCTCTTGCCTTGGCCTCCTCAAGTGCTAGAATTACAGGTGTGAGCCACTGCGCCTGGCCAACAAGCCATTTTTTAAAAAAACAAAACACAACAAAAAACTCACTACCATTGAGTTTTTTTCACTCCAAAGAAACCTCCCAATCACCAAACATCACACGCATATATATATAAAGTGTAAGTGATTTATATATATGTATATTTATATATATAACTTTATATATGTAAACCACTTCAGAGATATGTATTCCACTCATAGAATACAGAAAATCTTCTTAACATTTTCGTCCTTTTCCAAGTGAATCAAATTGTGGGAACTACTCACAACATTAACTTCCTGTCTCCAGATTCCAAAAACTCTCCCCAAACTCTGCTGTCTGGATTCTTCTCTCCTGCTCCCTCTCCTTTTTAAAACGGATCTCTCCTCAACGCCCCCTTACCTCTCAGCTTTTTCCAGTATAAATAAAATCAGGCCCACAGACTGTCTCTCAGTCCTCTCCTTCCCCATCCCTACCTCCAAGGCTCAGAACCTGGTGGCCAAAATGGAAATCTGTGTCAGCTGGAAAACACTGGAAGCTGGGGACTACTCCAGCTCACAGAAGCTGTCACCATCTCTTGCTTGCTAGGGCACTGTTGTCTCTTCTCTTTCTGGTATCCTGGTTTTTCCCATATTAGGCTGTTTCATAATTGATATTATCCCACATCTCATGAATGTTCTGCTTTGTCTTTAAAAAAACAACAACAACTTTTCTTTGTGTTTCAGGGGTGGATAATTTCTACTGCCCATATTCAAGGTCACTAATCTTTTCTTCAGCTGTGTCAAGTCTACTGATAAGCCTATCAAAGGAATCCTTCTATCTGTTGCTATTTATTTCTAGAAATTCCATTAGACTCATTGCTTTCACCTTTCTAATGAAATTCCCCATTTGCTTATGCATGTGGTCCACCTTTTCCATGAAGTCTTTTTAAAAAATTTTTTTTGAGTCAGGGTCTCACTGTCACCAAGGCTGGAGTGCAGTAGCTGGACTGCATGACCACAGCTTACCACAGTCTCGACCTCCTGGGCCCATGTGATCTTTTGGCCTCAGCCTCCCAAGTAGCTGGGACTACAGTCGTGCACCAGCCCACCTGGCTTATATATATATATACATATATATGTATATATATATATTTTTTTTAATGTACTTTTTATTTGTAATTGTCTGTAGAGACGAGATCTTGCCTAGGCCCCTCTCCAACTCCTGTATTCAAGCAATCCTCCAGCCTTGGCCTCCCAAAGTGTTGACATTACAGGCATGATCATTGCACTCAGCCCACTAAATCCTTGACATTTTAATCATAAGTATTTTAAAGTCCATGTCTGGCAGTTCCAATATCTGGATCTTTTGATAGCTTTGTCTCCTAACAATGGGTTATTTCTTGCTTTCCCATGCATCTGATAGTTTTTGAAATTGAACGTCAGTGATGATGCATAAAACAGTAGAGACTGAAGTGAATATTTTTTACACCTGAAGATGAGCATATGTCCCCTTATATTAGGACTTTAGTGTGGGGAGTTAAGTCAATCTAGACTGGAGTTGAGCTGGGTAGGGTTTTGTTGTGGCATGGTTATTTTCAGTGAACCATCAGCTCCCAAGTCCCCTGGTCTCTGCGTGCTCCGTGTGGGAATGGGATTTCTGGAGCATTTTCCTCAGTGGCTGTGCTCCACCCTTGGCGTTCAGTGTTCCCTGTGACTCTCAGATCAGTGTCTCTCCCTGCTGTTGCTCTCCCCAGGGTAGACAGATAGCTGTTGCTTGTTACTCGATGTATGTCAGCCTGTGGGTAATGCAGGGAGTTCTTGGATGTCCCAGACGGTCTTAAGCATCCATTGTGGGGAACCTCCTGGCCTGGACTTGGTGGGTGGAACTTTCTCAGCAGGTCGGCCCCTCCTCCCTGTTGCCAACACATTTTGCCCTGAATCTGTGACTGGCTGGGGTGGAAGGTTCCTGCTCTTCCTTCAGCAACAACCTCTGCTGGGTTTGGGGATAGAATTGCTTCTTACTGCTTCCCCAAGGGGAGAGGCTTATGCTTCCATCCTTCACCCCAGCCATGGGTGGACACTTGCTTGGAGCAGGGGTGGGGGAGATGGGGGTGGGTAGGGAAGGCTGGATGAGCAGCTTAAGGCTTCTGCTTGGAATCAGAACAGCAGGTGGCAGTGTCGTGCCTGTCCCCGTGTGTCATGGCCCATTCCCCGTCACCCACCTGTCCCTCTCTTGGGACTCTCACCTGCTCCTAATCTTTTTCACAATTCCCTCGTCAGTGTGAATTCCATCTGACACGCCACCCCGCACCAGGGCTCCAACACTTTGTTAAAATGTCAGCTGATTGCCTGGCACAGTGGCTCACACCTGTCATCCCAACACTTTGGGAGACTGAGGAGAGAGGATTGTCTGAGCCTAGGGAGTTGAGACCAGCTTGGGCAACTTGGTGAGACCTCGTCTCTACAATAAATCATAAAATTGGCTGGGCATGGTGGCGCATGCCTGTGGTTTCAGCTACTTGGAAGGTTAAGACAGAAGGATCCCCTGAGCCCAGAAGGTCAAGGCTATGGTGACCATGCGCAGTACCACTGCACTCCGGGCTGGGTGACAGAGACTCTGAGTCAAAAAAAACCCCAAAAACAAATGTCAGCTGACAGGTGTGGTAGGCAGCCTTCCTCCTAGGTTTTGCCCTGCCCAAGCCTGTTCACGTGCCTCACATCTCTGTAAGGGGCCAGCCTGACCCCTGGAAATTCGGTCATAGCTTGCTTAAAAATACAGCTCTTTGATGAGTTCAAGGAAAGTTACCATGCTGCAGTTTTTTGTTTTGTTTTTTCTTTTTTTGATAGAGGCAAGGTCTCATTATGTTGCCCAGACTGGTCTCAAACTCTTGGGTTCAAACAATCCTCCCACCTTGGCTTCCCAAAGTGCTGGGATTGCAGGCATGAGCCACCACACTGGGCCTCTTTTCTCCTCCTCCTCTTCCTCTTCTTCCTCTTCTCCCTCTTCTTCCTCCTCCTCGTCTTCTTCTTCCTCCTCCTCTTCTTCTTCTTCCTCTTCTTCCTCCTCTTCTTCCTCTTCCTCTTCTTCCTCTTCTTCTCCCTCTTCCTCCTCTTCTCCCTCTTCTTCCTCCTCTTCTTTCTCCTCTTCTTCTTCCTCCTCTTCCTCCTCTTCCTCTTCTTCTTTCTTCTTTCCTCCTCCTCCTCCTCCTCCTCCTCCTCTTCTTCTTCTTAACTTTATTTTTTCTAAAGACAGGGTCTCTCTCTGCCACCCAGACTGGAGTGCAGTGGTAGGATCATGGCTCCCTGCAGCCTCCAACTCCTGGACTCAAGTGATTGTTCCATCTCAGTCTCCCAAGTAACTAGGACTAAAGGAACACACCCATCATACCTGGCTAATTAAAAAAAAAAAAAAGTTTTGTAGAGATGGGATCTCACTATGTTGCCCAGACTGGTATCTAACTTTGGGCTCAGGCGATCCTCCTCTTCAGCCTCCCAAATCCCTGGGATTGTAGGCATGAGGCACTGTACCAGCCCAGTGCTGCAGTTTCTCTGGGCTTTTTCACTCATTAGTGGGATTGCTATTTTCTACATGCTAGGCAATGACAGAAACCTTGCCTGGACTGTTGAGAGAGCCACTTTTCTGGGCTTGTTATATACACGCAGTCCCTGTCAGTGCATTCCCCACACTCTATCTGGAGGAGAGGGTGTGATTTGGTCACGATGCGCCCTGCTGTCGATCCTCTTGGTGACTTCCTATCATGCTTAGGACGACTCAGATCCTTGGTGTGACCTAGATGTGGGCCTTGCTACCACTTCTCCCTTAATTTGTCTCAATTCTCTGAATAATCGCCATTAGTTTGGGCACCTTCTCTCCCTCCCCTGAGTGGCTGTCCCCTCTGCCAGCTCTTTCCTGCTCATTCAGATCTCAGATCCTTTCCGTTCCCCAGAAGGCCTGCCTTGGGCCCCATCTCCACCCCTGTCTTCCTGTCAGGCGTTCCCAGATCACCCTGTACTTGGTAGCACTTGCATGTCTCTCTGGTTGCCTGTTTCCAGGATGGCCGGCCTCTCGGCTGCAGGAGGGCCGGGACTGTGTAACTATCCATGTGCCCTAGTGTGCGGCCCAACACCCAGCGTCTAGCTCGGTTAATACATTTGCTGCTGTTGTAATGAGACCGAGGAGTGGTGCAGACAGGGGGTCTGCTGGCCTGAACCCACTCTTGTTCTGGGCACAGAAACCTCTGCTGGACCACGGTGAGCTGGGAGCCATCAGAGAGGACGTCACTTCGGAGGAATGACATTAAAAGGACTTTAAACAGTCTCTCCCTGAGTTGAGCTGGGTGACCCAGTGCCTCTCTGATGCCACTTGGCATGTTCTAGAAGTTAGATGATGTTGGAAAGTGGTGTCCCCCATCTCAGGTTTTTTTTTTTTTTAATTAGTTGAAGGTCTTACTCTGTCCCCCAGGCTGGAGTGCAGTGGTAAGATCATGGCTCACTGCAGCCTCAATATTCTGGGCTCAGGCAATCCTTCCACCTCAGCTTCCTGAGTAGCTGAGATACAGGCATGTGCTATCATGCCCAGCTAATTTTTTAGAATTAAAAAAAATATATTTTTATTTTTATTTTTAAGATGTGGGGTACAATTCAGAATTAGGTAGATAAGTGGTCATCGTACAGGTAAAGTTTGGGCCTCCTTTAATTTTTTAGATTTTTTTAGAGACAAGGTCATGCTTTGTTGCCCACGCTGGGCTGTAACTCCTGGACTCAAGCAATCCTTCCACCCCGGTCTCCCAAAGTGCTGGGATTACAGGTGTGAGCCACCACACCAGGCCTCAGGCTGGTTCTGGCAGGTAGAAAGTGTTACTGGTGACAAAATGTTTGCATTGTTAGAGCTAGCCAAAGGGAAAGAAGTGAGCCCACCTCAAGTGTTACTGAAGTGATAAACAGGAAAAATTCTAGGTTGTTGATTATGAAAAATTACTAATCAGCTCTTTTATGTTTACAGCTTTGATGCACCACGTGAGGCTCTTCTTTCCTGTGACATTACATGCTTTGTTGGATCTGAAGATGTAGCAAAGGATATAAAAGGTGAATATATTCTTACAGTCTTGGGTATTTTGTTGAAATATGTGTTTGATGGTTTTAGGCTAATGTCAACTAGTAGTTACTGCAATGAGTAGAGAATTTGAGCCAGGTGCAGTGGCTCACACCTGTAATCCCAGCACATTGGGAGGCCAAGGCAAAAGGACTGCTTGAGTCCAGGAGTTCAAGTCCAGGCTAGGAAACATAGCGAGACCTCTACAAAAAAAACAAAAAACAAAAAAACCCCCCAAAAATTATCTGGGCATGGTGGTGCACTTCTGTAATCCAAGTTATTCAGGAGGATAATGTGGAAGGATTGCCCAAGCCTGGACAACAGAGCAAGAGGCTCTCTCTTTAAAAAAAAAAGGTCTAAGTTTTATTTAGCATAAATACTGGTCTTGTTTAAAATGAGAGAATGCAGGTAGCACTACTGTATACTGATAGGCCTTAGAGAAATTAAAAATACAGAACACAGAACATGAGACCTTGGAAGGAACTCTAGCTCTTAGAAAATATTATCTTGAAGCGAATCTTTAGTTGTAATTGGTGAAGTGTTTTTTGCTATATGATTGTGTTTCTTTTTAGACTGGAAAGTCGTAACCAGTGGAAATTTTAACATACACGTGCTTCCAGGAGATCACTTTTATCTCATGGAACCAGACAATGAGAACTTCATCAAGAACTACATAGTCAAGTGTCTAGAAATATCATCGCTTGCCGACTTTTAGATCATTTCCTTTTAGTCTTAAAATAGTCAATTTGATGTGATATGTTTCTCAGTTATTCAGATGTAGCTCATTAGTTTTATTTACAGATTGGAAATGATATATTGTCTATCATTGGGTGATCTGTTATGCATCCGTGTATTTCTCTGTGGAGCATTTATGTATCTGGGGACAAAGGATAAACAGGACAAGAAGAATACTTCTAGCAGAGTCATTTTGCTTTGTATTAAATTTTCATTTGATTCTCTTCTGTGGGAAGTTTGTCAACAAAATTCACACTTTGCAAATTATTCATTTTTCCCTTCAATTATTTTAATGGTGAAAATACGGGAAATGCTTGACACTGAATTATTGTTGCACCCACTCACTGTGGCTCAAAGCTTGATCCGATCTGTTGAAAAGTAGGATAGTCCTATTTAATAAGAAAATATAATCGACTGTTTTATTAAACAAAGATAGCCCTAAACAGTTATTGAGGCCTGCACCGGCAAGTCATCAAAATACGTCTTTCTAGGGATGTCCTTCTGCTTCAATTGCTGGTCAGCTTATGTGGCCCTATCACCTTGTCAATGATTGACTGGGACCCAGGGCCAGCCCACCCTCAAGCAGCCAACCTAGAGTCTGGCCCCGGTTCAGGGAGTGGTATAATTTACCACTAGATATGTTGTATCTTGATTTCTATCTGTCTTCAATGTAAAAATTAAAAGAAAAACAGTAGATATTTCCATGGTGGCTTTTCTCTTTCTTTAAAGCACTATAGATAGACTCACACACTTCTTTAAAAAAATTTTTTTTCACCAAATTTGTTATGTTTTATACAACATTTGCTCTAACATGAAGGTAGGATGATTCTAGTTATCTCCTTCAATTCTTACAAGAACTCTGTGAGTGATATTATTTTCCCTTCTCTACAGATGAGGCTTGGTAAGGTTACATAACCTGCCCCAGGTCACCTAGCAAGTAAGTCACAGGGTGAGGACAGGTATATCAGTGGGGGCACAGACTCTGCACTACCGTGACCCCAAAGCTACACAGTGTAACAAAGGAATACTCTTTTTATTGCTTACTTAGTTAGTTTTTAGTACACCAGTAACACTATTTCATTGTAGAGGAGCAGATTAGCCAAAAGAACAAACAATTGTTGACATCTTTGTATACATGCAATCAGACCAATGTTTTTCTTTTCTTATTGTTTTTTTTTTAATTGTAGTCTTACTTCGTGAACCAGGATGGAGTGCAATGTCACAGTCACAGCTCACTGCAGTCTCAAACTCCTGGGCTTAGGTGATCCTCCCTTCTTAGCCTCCTAAGTAGCTGAGACTACAGGCATGCACCATCATGCCCAGCTAATTTTTTTTTTGTAGAGACGAGGTTTCATTATGATCTCAAACTCCTGGCCTCAAGCAATCCTCCCACCTCAGCCTCCCACAGTGCTAGGATTATAGGCCTGAGCCACCACACCCAGCCAAGGGCAGTATGTTTCCAAAATAACTTTTAAAGTCAACTTTCTTAAGCAAGTAAAATTCACTTAAGTAGGCAGTTTCAGCGTGCTCCTAATTATGTATTCATGCTAATAGCAAAAATATACATGAACATTGAGTTCACAGGGCATTCTCCCCCCAAATGTTGTCATGATACCATTACGAAGGCTTCAAGAAGAAAAACGTCTCATGTGCTGTCTTCTAAATTCCATATTTTTCTATCAGCTCTTTCGCTTTAGAAATATAGGCACTCATCGCATCTTCCTTCGACAACCCTAGGAAGACACACACACGTTATCTCCCTGACTTGGCTGCGCTGGGAAATTAAGAAAGTTTATTTTAAACTTGTTGCATAATTAGAGACCTTTCTGGCGGTTCCACGCATCCCACTTGGCCTTGCCTTTCGGATCCAACATTCCTGGACACTCTGCCAAGAGAACGGAGTCATAAGTTCAAGGCAGCTTTTCCCCATGTACTCTATGAGTGCTTTCAAATGAAGGATGTGGTTATTTTTAAATGATGACGTCATACCAATGTCAATGTCTCCAACGATAGCTTGTTTGTAAAGCCCGTAGATTTCCTTCAGCTCTTCATCATCTGGCCTTGCTTTCAGCTTCCTCACATCTTCTGCGGCCCTGTCAAAATCACCCTAAAGCCAAAGGGGGAAAAAAGAAAGAAAAAGAAATATAATGTACTTGCTAACTTCAGGCAGGCTTGGCCGCTGTCACGTTCTGGGTACACTTACCACCACGTAGGAATTCAAACAGGAAGAAGAGGAGGAAGGTGGCCAGGAGTGCAGTGGCTCACATCTGTAATCCCAGCACTTTGGAAGGTCAAGGTGGATCACTTGAGCCCAGGAATTTGAGATTACCTAGGCAACATAGCAAGATCTCATCTCTACAAAAAAATTTTAAAAACTAGGCCAAGCTCGGTGGTTCAGCCTGTAATCCCAGCACTTCGGGAGGCCGAGGCGAGTGGATTGCCTGAGCCCACGGGTTCGAGACCAGCCCAGGCAACTTGGCAAGACTTCGTCTCGACAATAAATAAAAAATTAGCTGGGATGTAGTAGCATGTGCCTGTAGGTCCAGCTACTTGGAAGGCTGAGGTGGAAGAATCGCCAGAGCCCAGCTGGTTGATGCTGGGGTGGCCATGAGCATGCCACTACACTCCAGCCTGGGCGATGGAGTGAGATTCCAACTCAAAAAAAAAAAAAAAAAAAAAAATTAGCCCGGTGTGGTGGCATGGGCCTGTAGTCCCAGTTATGTGGGAGGCTGAGGCAGGAGGATCGCCTGAACCCAGGAAGTTGAGGCTGCGATGAGCCAAGATCGTGCCACTGCACTCCAGACTGGGTGATAGAATGACGACCAGGACTCAAAAAGCAAAAACAAGCAAAAAAGAAAAGAAAGAAAAAGAAAAGGAAGGTTTAGAGAGGAGAGAGAAAGGGTTGAAAAACCACCCGTGGCGTGCCATGATCACCACTTGGGGGTACGCTTATTAGAAGCCAAATCTCACCATCATGCAATTGACTATGTACTGTAGTTCCACCAGAATTATCTTAATTTATTTGAACTCCCATGAATTCACTTCTCCCGGTATTTACCTAATATACACACAAAATGTGGAAAACTAAAGACAATTTTTTTTGAGTTTGGGTCTCACCCAGGCTGGCATGCAGTGGCTCAATCACAGTCCACTGCAAACTTGAACTCCTGGGCTCAGGCGATCCTCCTATCTCAGCCTCCCACACAGCTGGGGCCACAGGCTCATGCCACCAGAGCCTGGCTAATTTTTAAATTTATTTTCTAGAGATGAGGTCTTGTTATGTTGCCTAGGCAGTCTCAAACCTCCCGAGTAGCTAGAGTAGCTGGGACTACAGGTGAGCGACCCCCTGTGCAGCTAATTTTTTTATTTTTTTTTGTACAGATGAGGTCTTGCTATGCTGCCCAGGCTGGTCTCGAACTCCTGGCCTCAAGCGATCCTTCCACCTTGGCCTCCCAAAGTGCTGGGATCATAGGCATGAGGCACCATGCCTGGCTGACTTACTGAAAACTTTCTATACAAATATACTTAAATAGTAATCCTCATTCTGAGTTAACTCTGAAAACCCAGAGCTCCCTGACGCCTCAGGACACCAGGCTCTCAGTCCAGGACTTGTCTGGCCGTAGCATATTCCCTACAGGGAAGGAGTCCAGCCTCCCTGAACCCAAGTGCTCCTGGACACTCTATCGCTCTCTCTCTCTCTTTTTTTTAGTCAGAGTCTCACTCTGTCGCCCAGGATGGAGTGCAGTGGCACACTCACAGCCACCACAGCATCAACCTGCTGCACTCTGGCCATCCTTCCACCTCAGCTTTCCAAGTAGCCAGAACTACAGGCATGCGCTACCACGCCTAGCTAATTTTTGATTTTTGTAGAGACAAGGTCTCGCCAAGTTGCCCAGGCTGGTCTCGAACCTGCAGGCTCAGGCAATCCACTTTCCTCAGCCTCCCCCAAATGCTGGGATTACAGGTTGAGCCACCGAGCCTGGCCCCTTTCTCCTTTTAACCTCTTCATTTATACTATAAAAAGGGCTTTGGTGATTATTCTCCTTATAGCATATTTCATTCTTTTTTCAAGTAAACTGCTTTGCCATGAATTACTTGTTTCAGACTGGGAACCAGCAGGAATGTGTCAGTAGCCTGCGTATCCATCAAGGGTAGTGGGATGACTAATACTAGTCCCAGATCCCACATTTCTCTCTACATGCCAGAGCCCCGCTATAATCTCAGACCCCTTGAGTAGAATTGCTGGATCAAGCGTCCATCAACCAAAGACAAAACAGTAGCCCAGTTAGAGCAGCCGCTTTGTGATGAAAATCACCTGTAAACTGGAGACCAGAACTGGACATGGTGGCTCATGCCTGTAATCCCAGCACTTTAGGAGGCTAAGACAGGAGGATCATTTGAGGTCAGGAGCTCGAGACTAGCATGGGCAACATAGCAAGGCCTCATCTCTACAAAAAGTAAAAAAATTAGCCATGTGTGGTGGCACGCACCTGTGGGCCCAGATACTTGGGAGACTGAGGTGGAAGGATTGCTTGAGCCCAGGAGATCGAGGCTGCAGTGAGCCATGATGGCGCCACTGCACTCCAGCCTGGGCAATAGAGTGAAACTCTGATTCAAAAAGAAAAGAAAGAAAAAATTGGAAACCAGAATCTCCAGCCTAAATAACCTTGAAAATGGCATGGCCTCCTAATCAATGGGATGGGTGCATGGGACAAGGAGGCCTTGCACAAAATGCCACCGTTAAAAATGCAGACTTTGAAGCCAGGTTGCCTCGGTTGCATCTCTTAAGAGCTGAGTGACCTTGGGCAAGTTACTTTCTGAGTCTATTTCTTCATCTAGAAAGTAAGGCAAGGCTGTTAGGAGAATTTCAATAAGTTAACACACTCAAAGTACATAAAATAGTGTCTGGCATGGAGCAAGTATTCAATAAATAATTATTTCTTTTATGACAAAGATCTCTGGGAGAGAAACTAGTTCTAGAAAAAACTGAAAAAAGTACCTGCAAGGAGGCAAGACATGAACAACCCTTTTACTTTATGGTTTAACAAAGGACGCAAAAATAAAATAATTTATGCACTCAACTTTGTGAATTGTGTAGAAAAATAAAATAAATAATAAACAATAAAGATAGAAAGAAATATATTAAAATTGTATATCATAATACTATAAAAAAAGGATTGGCAGTAGTGGGAAACTGCCGAGAGGAGGGCGGGGAAGCAGGATTGGCAGTAGTGGACGTCTGCCTGGGGAAGGGGGGCACACCTCATCAACAAGGGTATCTGCATCATGAACATTTGTATACCTAACCCTGAACTGTACTCCACATCTTTAAAATAAAAAATAAAAAAATAAAACTGGGATTGCGCAATAAAAAAATGCAAACAGTAATTGGAAAGTTTTCTGGCTTTAAAATATTCCTGTATGCTCCAAATTTGTACAAATAGTGTTTGTACTGAGAACAATATTAAAATGCTACATGAGCCGGGCTCGGTGGCTCAGCCTGTAATCTCGCGCCTTTGGGAGGCTGAGGTGAGTGGATTGCCTGAGCCCGCGGGTTCGAGACCCGCCTGGGCAGCGAGACCTCATCTCTACAATAAATCAAAAAATCACCTGGGCGTGGTAGTGCATGCCTGTAATTCTGGCTACTCGGAAGGCTGAGGTGGAAGGATCGCCGGAGCCCAGTAGGACGAGGCTGCGGTGGCCGGGAGCAGCCACTGCACTCCAGTCTGGGCGACAAAGTGAGACTCCAACTCAAAAAAAAAATAAAAATAAAAATAAATAAAAAATAAATAAAATGCTACATGAGTGTCTGGGGTTTCCTTGGGGCAAGGCTATTCAGAAAGGTGTAGGATCTCCCCCTGCAGGTTCACAGGCCCTCTCAGGTGTTCTGTGGGCTGGAAAGTTTCATGCCACTTTCCAGGGCAGCAATTCAATCCCTTTTGTTGAACTGAGCCTTGATCAGAACTCTAAGGCTTCTTAAAAAGCCATGTTCAGTCCCTGCCTTCCAGGAAGGAGTTTTTGGAAAACTACTCTTCATATTTTATAGGGTATGGAGCCATACAAAGATCTCACGGAGGCTGGGCGCTGTGGCTCATGCCATGCATGAATCCCAGCAATTTGGGAGGCCAAGGTGGGAGGATCGCATGATCCTAGGAGTTCAAGACCAGCTTGGGCAACACAGCAAGACCTCTTCAGTCTCAGCTGCTCAGGAAGCTGAGGCAGAAGGATCACCTGAGCCCAGGGGGTCAAGGATGTGGTGAGCTGTGATGACTGTGCCACTGCCTGGGTGACAAAGTGAGATCCCCGACTCAAAAAGGAAAAAAATCTAATGAAAGTCTTAACTCCTCTGCACAGAAGAGCTAAGCCCCAACACAGCTTCCTGTGCCATTTCAGGGGTCTCTGTCCTTCCTCCCACTTCCCAGGTGGTACGGTGGTGCTCAGCATCACTATCTCTGTCAGGCAAGTCTTGCCGTGGCACCTCGACTTGATACCTTCCCGGATTAAGGCGCTGCTCCCATGTGCCTTCCTCCAGGAGGTCTCTCGCAAGCCCACCAAGATGAGCTACAGTAGAAAGAACGTTGGCAGCAGTGGGCTGCTCAGGATTGACTTCTGGCTTCGAGGCACGTGCCCTGAGACCCCATGCATGGGGCCAAGCTCCTCTGAGAGGCAGATTCAGTCACAAAAAGGTAGTGTCAGTCTCACCGGGAGAGGTTGGGTCAAATGTGATCACAAATGTAAAATACTCCCATTCAGTTCTGTGGACCTCACCCTCCCAGGGCTCACCACACATTTCATAATAATTACTATTATTGAGACAGCGTCTCACACTGTCACCCAAACTGGAATGCAGTGGCATGATCCTGGTTCACTGTAGCCTTGACCCCCCAGACTCAAGAGATCCTCTCATCTCAGCCTCCCCCCTGGGATCACAGATATGTGCCACCATGCCTGGTTTATTTTATTTTATCTTATTTTTGTAGCAATGGGGTCTCAGTATGTTGCCCAGGCTGGTTCAATGGATCCTCCCCCCTTGGCCTCCCAAAGCACTGGGATTACAGGCATGAGCCATCACTCTCAGTCTCAAAAGAATTATTGAACACCTCTGATGGGCCAGGCCTTTGCAAGGCGGACAGGAAGGAACAGGAATGGCTTGAAGAAGCAGAGTCCCGTGAGAAATGAGCAGGTCAGCGGTGACATATGAGACTCTCTGCAGAGGAGGAGCCCGTGGCTGCTCTGGGGACACGGAGGGGAAAGCACAGAGGGGAGGGGTGTGGAAGGAGCTGTTCTTGAGATGAGACAGTGCTTGCACTGAGCCTGAGGGATCAGCATCTGTTGGGTGCACAGGGGCAGGGGAGCGGTCCCAGGCAGTGTGGACAGAACTGATGACTTCAACAGAAAGCCTGGGTGGGGCGGCTCATGTTCATAACAGAAGCAGACATAGATATCCACCTGGCAGCACGAGCAGAGCTCACAGCCTGCCGGCAGGTGGTGCAGCCCCATGGGAGCCAAGTAAGGACACCCTTGCGGGATGGATTAATAAGGGGATATTAGGAGGCTCAGAAGTTACCATGGGGAGACACAGCTCTACAGGCACAGCTGTTTAGATAGAAGTGGAAAGCATTCTGGGCCAAAGGAATCACAGTTTTGTCGCGCGTGCCTGTGCTGCTGTGAAGCAGGGCTGCTGCTCTGGGGAAGAACCTCAGCCTCTGCCAAGGTGATTCCCCTGGAACTGGGATTCAGCATCCTGGCTGAATGCTATGCACACGGTCTTCCTCCCACCTGTCTTTGAGATTCTCTCTTTCTTTCTCTCTCTCTCTGTCACCAGGCTGGAATGCAGTGGCACAATCACAGCTCACTGCAGCCTTGAACTCCTTAGGTTCAAGTAATCCTCCTGCCTCAGCCTCCCGAGTAGCTGGGACTACAGTCATGTGCTACACACGTGGCTACTTTTTTTTTTTTTTGTAAAGATGGGATCTCACTATATTGCTCAGGCTGATCTTGAACTCCGAGCCTCAAACAATCCTCTCACCTCGGCCTCCTAAAGTGCTGGGATTACAGGTGTGAACTACCGTACCTGGCCTGTGTTTGAGATTCTGCAAAGCAAACTGCCTTAGGATACTAAGGGCCCTCCTTGGACCCTGCCCTGTTCATGCTTTAGCCACAAGGCCCCCTCACCCCCCCTTTAGGGTAGCAGTTAGGTCAGTGTTACTCACATTGGGTATATCATGCCTTCTACAGACAACTTGGGCTCCTGTGTAAATTTCCTTTCACGTTTCACCCCAGCTGAAAACAGACTCTGAGGGGTGACTCTCATCTAATCTGACTTTACTTTCTGCAGTCAAAGAACATGGGGTTGACAAGGGCTTTTGAGCCATTCTTTTCCATTGAGAAACTGAATGAAGATTAAAAAAAACTCTCACTCTAGGAACTGCACGGTTCTTAGGTCACAGAAACATGGTGGGGAGAAGGGAAGAGGTTAGTTGTTTGCCAACTGCTACACTCCTGAGTCTCCTAGTCTTCCACCTCAGCCTTCCGAATAGCTGGAATCACAGGGGTGCCACCACGCGCGGCTGATTTTTTAATTTATTGTAGAGACAAGGTCTGGCCAAGTTGCCCAGGCTGGTCTCGAAGCCCTGGGCTCAGGCAATTCGCTGGCCTCCACCTCCCAAAGTGCTGGGATGACAGGTGTGAGCCACTGCGTCCGGCGCCCGGTGACTTTACGCGGTTCCCTGTTTCGGAGTTTTCCACCTTCGACATATACTTCTTTTCACATACCAGTAAGATCTTACTTTTAAATTGGAGCTTCATAGATCTCTTCGGTTCAGGAAGACACTTGCTTACGAGAGCCCCCCGACGCCCCAAGCAGCAAGGGGGCGAGAAGGGATCCAGCCTCCCTTTCCCAGAGGCAAAGAGGGAGGAGGGGCCGCTTTGGGCCCCCCCCGCGCTTGTGCCCACTTTCCGCTCACGATAGTTTAACCAGTCCCTGGGGTCCAGCGGGGTTTCCGTGGGGACAGCGGATCGTCGTCAACAGACGGCACACGCGCGGTCTACACTGCAACGGGCGGGGGGGGGCGAGGTGGTGGAGAAGGAGTGGGGGGGGGTCCCTCGGGTCGTCGCCGAGCGCTCCCGGGGGGCGTCACGCCTGCCCCACGCCCCATCCGAGACCCCTGTCTCGGAGCATCCCTTCCGCGCGCCTCCCCAAACCCAGGTTACCTGCAGGGACATAGCGGCAGCGGCGACGGAGCGGTAACTCCTCTGCTGGCTCGGGACCCGCGCCCCGCCGCTTCTTAAAGGGCCGCTCTGCTCCGCCGGCCGCTGCCATTGGCCGCGCTCCGGACCCGTCCGCCTCCCATTGGTCGAAGGGGCGGAGGGGGCGGGGCTGGGCTGTGAATGGCACCCACCCGCCGGGGACCCCCCCCGTGGCCCCGCCCCCGACTCGCCGCGGCCCGCGGGGCTGTCGCTGGAAAGGCGGAGAGAAGGGCATTTCAATGAGGTCCTCTCCGCTCTCGACTCTCGCGCTTTCATTATTTCTTAGTAAGTTGTTCGGAGGAAACCCAGAGAGGGTCCCCCAGGGCACGGACCTCCCTTGGGATTCCTTCTTTTCTCACACTTCTCTCCTGTCCATCATTCCGGGAAACCTGCTTGGTGAACGCGTTTACGCGGACCTTCCGCGTCTGTCCACGCCGCCCCGGGTGTTCATCGTCGGTGAAAAGGGACTTGGGTCTCTTCTCCTCCTCATAAAGCAAAAACACCCAAATTCTGAACACAGGCCGCAACCACCCTGACCTATTTTTAATGATGGTAAAAAGCACAGGACGGCATGCCTAGTCAATTTGACCCAGTTCTCCAGGGACACAAATCCAATGTCCCTCCAAGGTCTGCAGACACACAGAATGGGGTTGTGAATTACATCCTATTACATTTCCAAAGGACTGGAACTAGAGTCCCTGGTCACAGGAGATGTTAATTTCCAACTCTTTGTTTAGATAGCATCATTAGCATTCGTGGAGAAAAGTGACTTAGAGAACAGCAGCTTAAAAAGTGACTTAGGGAAAAGCAGAATCCCTGAGTCTGAACATACAGCAATGCAATCATAAACCTTTTAGCTAGTTTTATATAAAGCTACATTTAAAAAGTATTTGTAACTCTGGGCTCCATGTGGCTCAACCCTGTAACCCAAGCATTTTGAGAAAGGTCAAGACAAGAGACTTGCTTGAGCCAAAGAGTCTGAAACCAACCTAGGCAACAGAGTGAGAGCTTGTCTCTATAAAAATTCAAAAATTAGCCAAGTGTGGTGGTGTACCTTCCTGTGCCTCAGGAAGGGTCACCTGAGCCCAGGAGTTCGAGGCTATGGTGAGCCATGATGGGCCACTGGGCAACAGCATGGGCAACAACCTGGGCAACAGCATGAGACTCTGACTCAAAAATAATAATAAATACATAAACATAAAATAATAAATATTTGGCACTTTTCATGTAAATCTTTTTCTTCCTCCTTGAAAATATTTTTGTGGTGAAATAAATGAAATTCCAAGTAAAAGACAAAAAATAAAAAATAAAAAAGCAAGTGTCAGAAAGACATAGTGAGCAGTTTTTAGTTTTTAAGGTCCTGGAAGATGGGAAATGCCCAGTAGGGTATAAAGATACATGACAGCTTCAGAACTGCGCGAGGGCTTCTTCTGTTAGCTCAGAGCTGGCTGCTTGGGGGAGCCCTGTCCATGGTGTTTCAGCAGGGCAATACTGCACTGAGGTCAATATCAATCTGTATCTTCAGCTGAGACATTGTGGCATTGCAGTCAGTATAAGAAGCCAGGAAAAGAGGAGAGGGATTGAAAATGCCTAAATAAAATTAATACAGGGTCACAGGGTAAAAGTTATGGAAAAGACCCCAGCCCTGCAAAACTGCAGCTCTGGTTAGAAATGAACAAATCTGTTAAATCTGTTGTTTCTAAGCCTGCGTTCCTCCTTGCGTGACTGTTTCAATAGACAGCAATTGATCAGTTTCATGTGCTTACTCCTGGAAAGGGGAGAGGCTGCCTGTGATGTTGATAAACATATTTTCCCTTAAACAATTACCCTAAGGTCACACAGATCTGTTTGATGGCATCCTGAAGTTTGTGAGTAGCTTTAATCTCCAGGGACCTCATCTCCTATACACTGTCATTTTAAAACCACCTCTATAATGGCTTACTATCCAGGGGTTAGTAGCTGATAGTTGCAGGACTTGGTTTATAAACAGTCTCTACTGGAAAACCTAAGAAGGGTGCTTGAGGTTTTTTTCAGACTTTACACTCTGAAGGGCCCGAGACCCCACCTGGACCCAGGATGCATACCAAGAAGCTGACTCCTGTGACCCTCTCCTAGAAACTGGCTCTTTGCAGGACGTTTTAGCATGTCCTGCCCATGACTTCATCTGTAACCAATCCACAGCGCCCATTCCCTAGCTCCCTGACTGCCAAATTATCTCTTTAAAAACCTGAACTTAAGATTCTTGGAGAGGCAGAATTTAGAAATATCTCCCACCTTCTACCTAGGAAACCTAGTGTTAGACCCTTTCTTTCTCTATGGCAACAACTGCTATTAGTATGTTGGCTCTTCTGTGCATAAGAATTGAGTTAGGCTGTAACAGGACGGTATGCTGTGCTCTGTTTTATTCTCAAAGTCCGAACTGTTCTTTTAAGACCTCTTTTCAAAGCATTTTCTTCTCCCAAGCTATCCCCCACTGGATTGCCAGAGCCGTGGATATTTTGTCTCAAAAAGCAAGAAGGAAGAAGAGCCAATGGAATGTTTGTTATCCTTGACCCATCTAGCATAATATACCAGCTACAGCTGTCAGGAGCTCTCAGGAAGCAAGTCACTTTGGATAGACAATGTAGTTCTTTTTATTGTTTTATTAAAAGTTGATTATACAATATATAAAGTATATAAAGATATGCAATAAAAATTAAAGGAGTTTATGAACCACTGGTTTAAGAAATAGAATTCAATTACCCTCCCAATTCTTCTTCATCCAATCTTCCACGTTCATTCATTCACTGAATGCCCAATATGAGGGTTCTGGATTCTTGAGAAATGCCAGTCAACAAAGCAAAGAAAATCTCTATTCTTGTGTTCCATTCTGGTAGGGATGATAGATAATAAACTTGTAATGTGCAAACTATATAGTCTGTTAAAAGATGGCAGTTGATAAGTACTATTTTTAACAAGAGCAGAATAACAGGGGGCAAGTCTTGGGAATGTGGGGCTAGAGGATGTGACCTGCAGCTGTAAATGGGGTGGTCGAGGTAGGACTCTTTGAAAAAATGACATTTCAGTAAGAACTGCAAGGTGGCCAGATGTGACAGCTCACACCTGAATCCCTGTACTTTGGGAGAAGGAGATGGGAGGAATGTCTGAGCTTGAGACCAGGAGTTTGAGACCAGCTTGGGTATAATGGCAGGACCTCGTCTCTACAAAAAAATTTAAAAAGTTATCCAGATGTGGTGGCACATGCCTGTAATCCTAGCTACTAGGGGGACTGAGATGGAAGGCTTGCCTGAGCCCAGGAAGTCGAGGCTGTGGTGAGCCTTGATCATGTCACTGCACTCCAGCCTGGGTGACAGAGTAAGACCTCCACTCAAAACAAAACAAAACAAACCTGAAGGAGACGAGGGAACTTGCCAGGCAGATCCCTGGGGGAAGAGCTGCCCCTGCAAAGGCTGTAAGGAATGGGATTCCCTGGCAGGTAGGAGGAACAGCCAGGAGGCCAGTGTGATCACAGCAGAGAGCAGGATGGGGAGGCCAGGTCACATAAGGCTTGTACAAAGGCATCTGGCTTTAAGGGGGAGTGAACTGAGAACCATCGAAGGGTTTTGAGCAGAGGACTGACATGATCTGACCTATATTTTCAAAGGATCACTCTTGTTGCTATGTTGAAAACAGTTATGAGAGGAAGAAAGATAGAAGCAAGATCCTTATTGTAATAGTAATCCAGGGGAGAACTCCTGGGTGTCTCCTACACAGGGATAGCAGTGGAGGGAGTGAGAAGTAGTTCAGATTTTGGAAACATTCTGAAGGCAGAGGCAGCAGGAGTTACTGAGAGATCTTATATGGGGTATGGAAGAAAGAGAGTCGAGAAGAATAATTCCCAGGCTTTGGGCCCAAGTAGCTAGAAGAAGCATGGGTGGAGTAGGCTTGATGGGGAGATCAGAAGTTCAGTTTTGAACATGTTACCTTTGAGACATTGTTACGGCCCCCTCCAATAAATCGCTTGCTGTCCCTTGTAGCGAATTAAGATATGAGAGGCAGAGACTAGGCGAGAAGGGAGTGTTTAATTTCTATAACCAGGTTATAGAGAGACGGATCAGCATCATTGCCAAAAAGCCCACTCAGAGAAACACAAATTCATTCCAGTATCTATACCCCAAATTTACGAATTTACCCATGTCAAGTTTGAAGCCTACGTGTAGTTTTAGCATGACTCAAGACTGACAGTAACTATTTTTAACACGTGATCACTAATGTGACACAAAGTCTCCTGGTCATGTTGACATTGTAGATAACATTTTGGAATTTACAATATGTCCTTTTACATTTTTTTTTTTTTTTTAGAGGAAGGAGAAGACAATTGCAATATTTGGAAGGAAGAGAAAATATAATTATAACAATCTTTTATTCCCAGAGCTCTGGCCTATAACAGTCCCATGTCCTTGTATTCACAGATGGAGGGGAGATGGGCAATATCCACTCCAAGTTTTTAGACACACTCCTTGTTGGCCTTGAACCACTCTCCTAATCATTCAGGGGTCTGGCTTGACTGGCTGTTTCTTCTTTAACACCAGCAATGGCTTACTAGATAAGACTGGCCAGTTGGGCAAAGCCATGTTAGGCGAGGAGAAGCGGGGAAGGGCGAATAGGAAAAACGTCCACTTTTGAATCCAAGCAGTTTTTACATTTAGCCCAATTCAGCTACAAAAGAATATACGTTTTTAAGACTTTTCTAAATGACTGTTCTAATATAACCAAAATGGCCTCTTTCAGCCTATAACAATATCAGTGAAGAAGTCAGGTAGGTAGTTGGCCATCCAGGTCTAGTCTGGACTGGGTATATAAGATTGGAATTCGAGAACATAGAGATAGTATTTAGAGTTTTGGTTCTGAATGACCCTGAAAAGAGAAGAGGACTGAAAATTAAGCCCTGGGGGACTCTAACCTTAAGGGGCTGGGGAGAAGAGGAAGAACTAGCC